ATTATAAAGAAAATATCTCCATCTTGTTGAGTTAAAGACCTCAGGGAAATTATGTCAAATCAAAAGACTAGAGCAGTATTACCAGAGGCTGGGGAAGAGATGGGATGCTGGTCAAAAGATACAAAATTTCACTCAGATAGGAGGATGAAGATTAAAAGATCTTTTACAAAACAAAGTGACTAGAGTTAGTAACAGTGGATTACACTCTGCGGAAATGCTAACAGAGTTTTATCTTTGAATCGAGGGAGAAGAAATTGAGATTTGGGAAAAGTCAAGAAAAGAGAATCTCATCAAAGATGATTCAAAATAAAAATGGAACAGAAAGTGATGAAAAGTGGGATTCTGTGCACCATATATGCTCTTCTCCCCACTCTAAATGTTTTCGATACCTAGAAAATAGAAAGAAGGACTTGTAGCAACTGGTATCACGTTGTGGCCAATCCCCGTTGGGAATAACAGCAGTTGCTTGTCTGGTGTAAGAACCCTGAAGTTGGTCCTGATGTCTTCCTTCTGGACTTCTGGCTCAAATGTTAACACCTCAGGGAAGTCAGGTACTTCCCAAACACAGAGAAGGTCCAATTGCTCTTGGTTCCGAAGGAGAACATGCTCTGCACTTTTCCCAAGATGAATTCTACTTTCCTAGGAATGCTTGCTAACACTCACCATCCAGATCTGATTACCTTCTGTGACCAAGCGGTTTTAGAAGATTTTGTAAAACTCAGCAGCCTCTCACATCCTCCGCGTTTGCACTCACTGTTTGCACAGCCAAGAAGGGCCTTTATTTTCTCACAACATGGCTAGACACTGCCCGTCGGTCAAGGACAGGCTCCCACCTGTCTTCCTCTTCACTGCTCACCCTGGCATTCTCTGGCACGCTACCATATAGATCTCTTTACTTTCATGCGCCAAGCCAAGAATATAATGGTAACCGCCTGATGTATATAAAATGAATAAATTCAAGTCCACTTATACAGACCCCTGGAATATTATGAGTTATCTTCTCTTTAAAAGGGGCTTCTCTTACATGAAATATACTGGAGAGTCTCTAGGGATAGGCTCAGTTTTCTGCACAAATTCTGCAATATTCTAAGCAAGTCTCTCTTGACAGTCATAATTGATTACTTGTTCTCTAAAGTACCCTGTGTTTAAAGCCAGAATTTGCAAATGTTCTTCTGAAAAAAAGAAAATCATTATGTTGTAGTAACTTTTATCCAGTCTTGCAATCTTGCCGAAAAATATTTCTCATCATAATCACACTTTCCTCGACCACATCTTTAGAGATTTGATGAGGCTGGACACATCAACAAGGCTGCTTCTCAGAAATCAACCTAAAACACTGAAAGAAAAAGTGGCTGTGCTCAGTAATTGAACCTTATTAGCCTTGCCAATTAAAATGTATTGTGTGAATGTGTGCTTGTGAGTGTGAGTGTATTTTCTTGTGGAGGTGGAAACAGTTTCTGTGGGTGGCATTTACTAAGCATCACTGGATCAATGGTAGAGTTTATAGGCACTTCCCTAACCCCAGGGAGTGATAGCAAATGTCACCGCCAATGGAATCTGCCTAAGTTAGAGCTGACAGGGTTGTTCATTTTAAAATTTTACGAATTCAGAAATAAATTTGTAAAATCAAAAAATCCTCTTATAAAACACACGGTGTAACATTTAGTGATATTAATTTAAATACCAAATATGAAAAGATTGGGTCTGATTAAGCAAAAGGAGCCATTGAACAATTCACAGTTTCTGGACTAGGTGGGCTTGGTGTCCTTACACTGCTTAATTAATTGTTTAATTCTGGCTGCTCTCTAAGTGCAATAATTGTTTATTTTATCTTCAAAAGATTGGTTCATGCGTCCTTTTGCCTTACGTGCCCCAGGGTGAATTTGAAGATCAACCGTAAATTGGCCTTTGGGGGAAAGCATCGAGGGGGTGTGTGAGAAGATGGGGGTTGTAGGGTTGTCAGTGAGCCACGTTTGTTCCCAATTTGGACAATCGAGCTCATCGGGTCAGATGTTAATCCACGAGACTGTGGAACTTTGGCCACTTGGAGGCGCTGTGGCTCCACAATGCTGCAGGGAACCCTGGAGAGGGGTGGGAGGGTGACCAGGAGAGGTGGGTTGTATGCTTGGCTGCCTTCTGGCTCCTGGCGAGTGGTTTGATTCACAGTGGATCCTGAGTTAAAAGCAAACTCCCCACTGACAGGGAAGAGCAGAGGTGCCCGAGGGCTCCATTTGCCTCCGTTTTCTCTGTGTCTACTTGGGCAGTGGAGGTGAAGGGGCTTGGGCCACAAGGGCTGGGAATCAGTGTCAGGGCAGGGACAGAGCAGGCAGATACCAGTAAGGGGTGATGTGGGCAAGTGGGACTGCGCTCCACCCACCAAACCTTTAGTTTCAGGGCTGTGTGGGACAGATGCACGGAGCAGCTCAGCCTGGGACCTGCCAAAGGGTGCAGGGGGCAGCGGTGACCTGCAGGGAGTAACTGGGAAAGACTAGTTCCCATAGAAAACGCCAGAGACATTCTTGCTGCCACTCAGGAAGTGACCATGAAGGACATGCTGCCAGCTAGGAGGGTTCAGGCCCTGGAGAGCTGACAGGCCCTTCCTAGGCACTCTGCACTGCTTCTACATGTCATCTGCCTTAATATTCACATAAATTGTACAGAATAAGTATTATTTTACCTGTTTGTGTCTCTGAGGGAAATCAGCTGTCCTGGGTCTCATATTTAATAAGCGGCTGAAGGCAGAGTGCAGCGGCTCACACTGTGACCCTAGCACTTTGGGAGGCAGAGCTCAGGAGTTCAAGACCAGCCTGGGCAACATGGTGAAACCCCATCTCTACTAAAAACATAAAAACTTGGCAGGGAGGTGGTGGTTCACGCCTGTAATCCCAGCTACTTGGGAGGCTGAGGCAGAAGAATTGCTTGAACCCTGGAGGTGGAGGTTACAGTGAGCCAAGATAGCAAGATAGCACCACTGCACTCCAGCCTGAGAGACAGAGCAAGAGTCCGTCTCAAAAATAAAAAAAAGAAAAACAGAATTAACATTACCTCCAGCAAGACAAGTTACTTTCTATCAGTTTCATTCCAGCATCTCTTCCAGAGGCTGTTCGTCCAATTTGGTCAAAAGCACTTGCATGAAATAGTGAGATCAATCTTTATTTAAAATCTGCTCTTTAAGAATGGTCACTTGTTTATATGGTTATCATCATCACTACATGTGGCCTCTTGTCATTTCAGTTTCCCTTGTCCCTTGCTTTCTTCCTTTGAAAACCTTCATATGTCAGCTGTGTGATGCAATGGGGTAGCTACTGGGGACACTGGATGAATAAAACTGTATCCTGGGGTATACCTGTTATGCTCGTGGAATTTTAGGACTGAACAGAGTGTTGAAAATAATTTATTTCAGCCCATTGTATTACAGATGAGAAAATAAGATGCTGTATAAAGTATGCAGATATTGACTAAACGGCTGACCTCACACAACATGTGTTTTATATCCTTAGTGCATAGGCAAGGTGTGAATTGCTTTTTGCTTTGTTGGAATATAAGTATCATGGACATGCGGACATCGTTTACTCACGCTTTGCAGTAAGTATTCAATAACTACAAACAAATAAAGCACGCTTGCAATTCCAAGAAGGACAGTAGTTAGTTTTCTTGTGTTTATTGCTGTATCTCTAGTGCCAGCAGTGTGTTCAATACATCACAAGTGAACCACCTGAGTCTATCTTTGGAAAGGCTTCATCAGAAGATGACAACTTTACCAAAGACACGTGTGTTTGTGTGTGTGTGTGTGTGTTGCCTTCCTGGCAGTGGTGGTTCCTGGTGTTCCTCTCGGTAGTTGCTGATCTGGAGTTTTTGTTTCTCGAAACGGTGGAAGGTTTTGTTTATAAATGTACCAACACACATGCCTTTCCCTCTAAGACCCAAACTTTGGGGAATTACCCACTGACTTAGGCCACTGAGGGCTGAGTGCTGGGCCTCACTGACCACAGCAAGAGGAGCTGAGTCCATACCCCTCCACCAAGGCTGTGGTGGATGGACGATGGCAGAGAAGGGGACAACTATCAGCAGAATACATAGGGTAGTGGTTCTCAACTGGGGGTGACTCAGTGATGTCTGGAGAAACTTTTCATTAGCACGTGAGGTACGGCTACTGGCATCAGGTGGGTAGGGGCCAGGTAAACTGCTAAGTGTCCTAGGTGCACAGGACAGCCTCCCACAACAAACAGTCATCTGATCTGACGCATGAACAATGCCCAGGTTGAGAAATTCCAGACTAGGCACTGGGTTGTAAGTTTTGTACCAAAAGGAGTGTAACCTGTAGACAACTCAAAGGAAGTACAGTCACCCGCTTAGGTTTAGTCTGATTGCCATGTTTACCTTCATCACCACTGATTCCCAGCACACGGTGACTTCTTACTCTCTAGCCCCATCCTGTTTCCCATTAGCTCTACTCCTTGGACAGATGAGAACATCACAGGGAGCAAGGCTGCAGTTTATTCTTCTTGAGGTCACAACAACAGAATTTTCTCCTAATTAAAATCACAGTCATGCATTTTAAGTGGCTGCAGCTGGTACTCAGGTGTCAGATGAACCCATAAACCAATCTCTTCTGAAATAGGAGTGGTCACTGGGCATTAGTCAGATATTCAACTGAGCAAAGATTCAAGAGAAAAAAAAATGTCCTGCATTATTTGAAAAGGAAGGAAAAGATCCAGAGAAGAATACCAGCCTGACTCTGAGAGAAGGGCCTGAAAGGGAGAGGAAGGGAGGAGGTGGTCAGATTCTGGGTCTGGAGCAGGGAGGGAGGGAGCTGCTGGTGCAGGAATGACTGTCAGAGACACATCCTGGAGGCCAAAAGTCCAACTTCTCAACTATTCCCAGGAATTACAAAAGCTCCTTTAAAGGAACAAATGCAGGAGAAGGAGGAGCCATGCTAGAGGAGACCCTGAGAATGGGGGAAGGATTACAGGCTGTGACCTCATTGGCACAGTCCTCTCAGTGGCGGTGGAAACCACAGCCTAGTCTTCTCACCACTGCAGACCAGAATCCTCCCTGGGCCTTGCCTGGTCTGCCTGACTCTGCCATGGGCTGCAGGCTCCTCTGCTGTGTGGCCCTCTGCCTCCTGAGAGCAGGTGAGTCCTGGGCCCAGGTGACATGATCCTGTTGGAGTCCCTAAGCCTTTTCACCATGACGACAGCAGCCTCCCTCCTGGGATTTGTCTGAATTCTGCTTTTTTTCCTTTGCAGGTCCCTCGGACTCAGCCATTTCCCAGACTCCAAAATACCTGGTCACGCAGATAGGAAAGGAGGAGTCCCTTAAATGTAACCAAAATCTGGGCCATAATACTATGTATTGGTATAAGCAGGACTCTAAAAAACTTCTGAAGATAATGTTTATCTACAATAATATGGAGCCCTTTTTAAATGAAACAGTTCCAAATCGCTTCTCACCTGAGTCTCCAGACAAAACTCATTTAAATCTTCACATCAAGTCCCTGGAGCTTGGTGACTCTGCTGTGTATTTCTGTGCCAGCAGCCAAGACACAGCCCTGCAGAGTCACTGCATCCCTGTACACAAACCTCCCAGCTCAGCCAGGAAGCTGTGGGGCAGTGTGTGCCCCTGCACCCAGGGCTCCAGTCTCCATTACCTGATGGCCTCTGATGGAGTTTCAGTCTGTAGTGCAGCCTGCCAGTGCACCTGATGTGGCAATTTTCCATTTTATGTACACAGAACTCTCTCAGAATTCTATTTATCAGCTAAAGCAGGTGTTCATGACAAAATCAGCAATGTATCAGGGGTCAACTAACAAAACAGAAGCCTGTCCCATGCCCTGAAGATCTTAACTGATGGGAAAAGCCATTTCTTGTCTTTGTCTGCTGTACATATGGGTATATATTTTCCGTAATGTTATGATTATAAACACGCTGTTGTTAAAAATGGTTGATGAGCATAAGCATAAAGGAGAGGGGAAGGAAAATATTTCTAAGATCAAGAGACAATTTGGATTATCAGTTCATGCCACCCCAAAATCGAGCTCCCTTTCACTTGGAGTAGGACCAAGTGAAATTTCTTTTTTAACGGAAAAATATTTGCAGAGGCATGAAATTCTATGGCAGTAAATAAACTGGAAAGAAAATGTCAGAAGCCAGTGGAGGCAGCCTTGTGCACTGTAGACTCCTTCTCTTCAAGAAGAGTGACCAGCAGGAATCTCTCCCAGTTCTGATGAATGTCATCTTGAACTCTCCTCAAGAGGAGGTGACAGCCGGATGACTGGGGATATTGGGAGACATGGAAAGGACTTTGGACACAAATCTCTAGGCAGTGGTGAGCCGCTGGTCTTATTCCAAGTGAAGCAACATGATGAAATTGATATTTTGCTACAGTAACACTGGTAGTAGTGTGGATCAGAAAGGAGATGGATTTTTGGGTGGCAAGAACAATTAGGAGACTTCTAAAATATCCTGCATGAGAGATTAGAAAGAGTTCGTGTGAAGCATTGTGAATGACATAGGTTTGAGGCTCTGGATTATGTTATCTCTTAGAAAGAGTGTTGGGTTTTATTCTGAGAAGGTTGAATGCAGGACTTGCTAAGGTCTACTTCAGCTTTGCCCTCCCTCTTAGGGAGCCCCAGCATGTAGTCCTCATTGCTAGTGCATGGCCTTTCCAGGGTCTTAGTGGGAATCATTGTGAATTCACCACATCACTCCACTGTAACTGGGTCTGAATGCCCTGTGTGTCTTCTGAAATCTCTCCCCACGTCTTCAGCCTTCCAGAACTTGGTCTCTGCTCAGCCTTCTGGTCTCCCTTCCTCTGCATCCACAATTTATGATCTGGCCCAGGAAAAAAAAGGGGGGTGATTTTTCTTACACGTATTTTTCGGGTTCCTTTGTAGTACTCTGTGTCCTAAATCCCAGCTGTCTTGGAGTCGGTTATGTCCTCTCTATCTTCAGTCACAGGTATTGCTGCTGTTTAGTGTAGACACGTTTACCTGACTTTACTTCACGTTTACTATTCCACTCTTCACTCTTCCTTCTTGCAATTCACGCTGTCCTGAGGTCAGTTTCCTTCTTCAGATCTATCCCAAATTCAGATGACTAAAACTCACAGGTCACTCACCCTATGCTTTGGGAAATGTTTTTGTTAGCTATTGACCTCAGGGCAATCAAGCCTCTCATTGTCATTGTTATTCAAGGTAGATTGAATTCCATTAAAAAAAAAATCTTTGAAATTTGGTTTACTTATTGGAGCTAGACAACGGAATCACATTCTTTTAATTCAAATTTTTTCTTTTTGGCGGAAGGGCTAAGAATTGTTCCCTTGCTGAAGCAGACACCTATTACAATAGTTTTAATAGTAACAACCTTAGTCTTTAAATCAGGGTTGATTTTAGGTTCTTATCTAAGAATGAAATATCTCCAACTGTAGAGGGTTGAAGGCGTGTCATATATGTGACCCGTTCAGGAGGAGACGATTCAACCACTTTTCTTAAATTCAGATCTACATGTCTTAACAGTCTTTGTTTTAAGGGCCACATAAAAATAATCTGAAACAATTTACACATTAGGAAAATGCTAACACTTTCCTCCTGGCCCAGCACATCTCCAGGTTAAAAAATCTCTATTATCAACCCCTAATTTAATCATGGTAACTCCTTCCTACTCCCAACATAGATTTCCATGTAACTGATTTATAACTACAACCCTTACCACAATCACAAGTGCCATTACAAAATGGTAATAAATATGTACTATAATAATAAATAGATGGTTAAAATCACTTAGGGAGTATGAATCATCTCTTTTTTTGTTTATTTGTACTTATTTTTTGTGCTGATTTATGATGTCAGCTTCAAGCTGACTTCCTTTTCCTTTGCTCCACACACCTTGTGTTGTTCTTTTTCAGCATCCTGTGTATGTTAACTCTAAGCCCAACCAAGCCCCACGCCCTCCACTTCAGGGACAGAGGGTGGCTCATCCCTTTGCTGCTCCCTCAGCTCCCTGCCAGTGCCTGGTTGCTGGTTGGCATCACAGTCATGCCTTTGAATGGTGGGCACTGGTCCACACTGCATCCGTGGTCATGCAGTCATCCTCCCTCCACAGAGCTGGGCAAAAAGGGCTCCACCATGCTTAGACATAGAGGGAAGGGACGTTTTGAAAGGCGCTGTCTCCTGTGTTCCCACAGGGGAGAAGGAGGTTCCTTGAATGGGAGTGGTCTGTTGCTGAGAGGGGTCCTGAAAGGCAGGAGGACAGAGATAGAGGGAGAAGCTACATAATGGGGAAGGAGCTGAGAGCAAAGGAGCCCCTGTCAGAGGAATATCCTTGGGAAATAAAAGACTGGCTCTGCCCTTTCTGCCCAGGACATTCATCCCAACCCAGCCAATTCATACCTACCTTCTGTCAGAACTTAGACAGGATGCAAAGCAATCAGGAAGAACCAGCCCCTGGGCCTGGGGAAACTGTCAGGAGCAGTGACATCACAGGAAAAACCACCAACCAGGGCCAAGGAGACCAGAGCCCAGCCCCTCGCCCAGAGGATCTCAGTCAGAGGCCCCATTTCAGACCCCAGGCTAGCATGGGCTGCAGGCTGCTCTGCTGTGCACTGCTCTGCCTCCTGAGAGCAGGTGAGTTGGGTTCAAATTGCCTGTCCTTGAACTCCAAGCTTTTTCCTGTGGCTGCAGCAACAACCCTCCTCCTGGGCTCTGCCTGAATGTTGTCCCTTTTCCCCCACAGTCCACATGGACACCGGAGTTACCCAGACACCAAAACACCTGGTCATGGGAAGGACGAATAAGAAGTCTTTGAAATGTGAACAACACCTGAGGCACAATGCTATGTACTGGTACAAACAGAAAGCTAAGACGCCACTGGAGCTCATGTTCATCTACGGATTTCAAAAACAAACTGAAAACAATAGTGTGCCCAGTCGCTTCTCACCTGAATGCCCCAACAGCTCTCACTTATACCTTCACCTACACGCCCTGCAGCCAGAAGACTCGGCCCTGTATCTCTGTGCCAGCAGCCAAGACACAGCCTTGCAGAGTCACCGTCTCCCTGTGCAGAAACCTTAGGGGCTTCTCAGGAAGCCAACATGGATGGCTCGGGTGAACACTTCCTGCAAGAGCCCCGACAGAGGCTTCAGAACACCATAGCACCTGCTCATTCATCTGTGTGGCAACTTTACATGCTGTACACATATTTATACGAGTGTGGGTTTTCTTTAGAGTGGTGACTCTGACCTTTCAGCTGCTCTGAAAACACATTCAGATCAGGTCTTTTTAAAATTCCTTTTAAAATTGTGAAATAAAGCACGCATGCTATAAAGGGGATTGTTTAAATTTTTTTTTCTTTTTCTTCTTTTTTATTGCATTTTAGATTTTGGGGTACATGTGAAGAACATGCAAGATAGTTGCATAGGTACACACATGGCAGGGTGATTTGCTGCCTTCCTCCCCTTCACCTATATCTGGCATTTCTCCCCATGCTCTCTCTCCCCAACTCCCCACCCCCGTCCCTCCCCCATGTAATTTAAGATTTTATAGAAACACTCTAAACAATCACCTGCATCCCACAGAGTCATACCCTGCACTAGGCCACACAGAGTCCTGTCAGGAGCCAAGTTCTTCTGACACTTATGTCTGGTGGTCTCCAGGCCTCTCTTTCTTGGGAACCAAGGGGTCCCTTCTGTCACAGATTGCTGACGCCCAAGACCAAGCAGCACTGGGTTTTGGGGAATCATAGAGGCGACTTCCGGGCAGGGGTCCCAGGGCAGGAGCCAGCTGGAGAGCACAGTAGACAACTCATCGTTTGGGGAATGGGTTTGAGAAATGCCTATTACACCAATTCTACTATTCTGTATTCCGTCTTGTCTATCTCTATTTTTCTTATTTAAACTCAAAACTAGAGCGTAAATTCCAGCCCTGATCAAAGCTCCAAATACGCACAGGCACCTTCTCTGAGCCCTGCAGGCAGCAAATGTGCCTCTGTCCACTCCCATCTGTTCAGAACCCGTGAACCATGATGTGGAACCTTCTTGACTCATCCACTTTCCCTCCCTTGACCTGAAGTGTCCTTGGTTTCAGGTCTCAACTCCTCACTGGATTTTTCTCTTCACACTGACACTGAAGGATGATTTTTTCCCCCTTTGGCATCTTTATTCCAGCGTGTTAAATCATCAGGCCCAGAGTCCAATGTCTCTGGATTGTAGCTCTGCATTGGCCTTTAGAGAGGAGAGTGGGTCCTGACTGTTCTCCTTGTATCTTAACCTTGCCTAGGTTTCCTGAAATCTGTGCTTCTTGGGGGCTCCTCAGCTACACGATTTCACACAGGGTCTTCAGGCCTTCACCCCCAAGAAAACACAGAGGCCGGGCCTGGGGGCATCCGTGCACCCTCAGGAAACACAGAGGCCGGGCCTGGGGGCA